AAGCCCAGGACAGCCAGGGCAGAAGCTACAGGGGGTCTCCACGTGCTGGACTATGTTTCTGCCACTCTCCCTTCGCAGGTGGGCCAGGCTGGGAAGAGGGCCCAGGCCAGACCTCATGGTGACCAGCCCCTTACCCTCCTGTGAACCATCTCCTCTCCCTCCTCAGGTGTGGGAAGCTGTGGCGCTCAGAAGCTCAGGACAGGGACAGGTACCCAACACTCCAGCCAGAGGCACCTTTTTGTTTTAAAGGACTAACTATAGCCAAAAACACAACGGTGCCCAAGGAGACGAGAAGAGGCCAGCTCTAGCCCCCCAGCCTGGTGACAGGTACACACCTTCATTCTTTGTACACACTACCTGGAACGTAATCTAATTTTAATAAAAAAACGAGGGTGGCTGGGCGCGGTGGCTCATGCTTATAATCCTAGCACTCTGGGAGGCCAAGGAGGGAGGACTGCTCGAGGTCAGGAGTTCAAAACCAGCCTGAGCAAGAGCGAGACCCCATCTCTACTATAAAGAGAAAGAAATTAATTTGCCAACTAATATATATAGACAAAATTAGCCAGGCGTGGTGGTGGTGCATGCCTGTAGTCCCAGCCACTGGGGAGGCTGAGACAGAAGGATCGCTTGAGGCCAGGAGTTTGAGGTTGCTATAAACTAGGCTGATGCCACAGCACTCACTCTAGCCTGGGGAACAGACCAAGACTCTGTCTCAAAAACGGGCGCACCCCAAGTCTAGGGGCAGAGCCAGGACCAGTCACAGCTGCAACTTGGGCGCCAGGTGAAATGAAAGTCAGGTTTGCCCTGCGGGAGAACCTGCTTGTTCTTGCCCAAGCGCTGACTCTCAAAGGACAGACACGCCACAGGAGATCCTGAAGAAGTAGCGCACACCTGGACCTCAGAGCCACCATGGGTGCTAAGAGCCTGAGTGAGGGTCTTGCGCTGACAGGAGCACCCGCTCTGGGCAGGACAGGGAAAGGCCTCCCCACAAACCACTGGGGTTCTGCGCGCCCCCAGGGCACAGGCCCACCCCCACCACACCCTGACCAGGTATCCACCCAGCTCGGCAGACACACGCTGACCAGCTGCTGTGCTTCTGGGACGCAGACAACCAGCGTGGACACGCAGGACAGCACATGCTGCCAGTTGACCTTCCTGTGTTTCCAAAACGTTTGCAAATGGCCACCAACTCCTCCGGACTCAGCATCACAAAAGCTGAACACAAGTGCCCACTCCCTTAACGTTGCAGCAAACCAACGCCAGACAGAAGCCAGTCCCTTGTCCCCTGTGAGCCTGGCCCACTGCAGCCACCTCCCACTCTCCTTGGGAAGAGACGGCAGAGGTGGCTGGATGGCAGCACAGCTGCTGTGAAGATGCCTCTAACGTCTCTCCTGTCTGTCCGTGGTGTTGGTACCGGCTGGAGAACCCTCATCTCAGAGGGGGCCGCGCCCCATGTGGACAGCCCATGGCTCACCAAGACTCCAGACTCTGCACACATGGCATCCCTGGGAGGCAGCTTGGACAGGACTTGACCTGTCAGATTTAGATACCCCCTGCATCATGGCAGCAGGCTGGCACACTCACCCTGCGGAACAGAGTGCTAAGCAGAGGGGTGTCCTCCGCAAAGCTCCACTCTCTCTGCATCTGGACGCATCAGACCTGCAAGAGGGGAAACAGATTCCATGTCAGTAATACACAAAGCTGTGTCTTAAAGCTTCACTGTGAAAAAGCTATCTTGTTTTAATTTGTATTTTTTTCAATCACTAGTAGTACACCCATTTCTCTGTTTTGTTTGTCTATTTTCTACATTATCAACTCTCTGTGCCTGTCACCTATTACTTACTGGTAATACTTTGTGCTACTTCCTATTAAATACTTTCATGTATCAACTGCATTTTAATTTTGCAGCTTTTAAGCTTTTAACTGTCACAAATACAAGCCAGCGGTGAGGAATGCACCCCAGGACACTGGGCTTAGAGCAGGTGCTGAGCCCTTTGGAACCACGCTCCCGACAACTGTGGGCACTCTCCTGCATTTGTGCTTTGTCCCACCCCTGAACTCCTGCCTGACACCTACCCTGGGACGGCAGGAAGACACAGAAGCTCAGTGGACAGTGGGTCGAGGGCAGCAGGGGGAAAGTGAAGACTTGGGAAAAGTTGTCACATACGGGGTTATAGCACGGACAGCCGCATGGCGCAGGTGACCAACACTAAACCACTGGGCAGGGAAGACCCACATAACTTGCCTCAGACAATGCTTATGAATACAACTGACGATTAAAACAGAATCACGGGCCAGGCGGTGTGATCCCTAGGGATGCCATGTGTCGAATGCCCTGGCAAGAGCTCTTTACCCGGCAAATGTGCTCCTTCGTCCCATGGAGACACCTTCATCTCCAAAATCCTCCTGCAGGAGAGGCGGCTGTGGGAACAGGCCGAGGACGGTTGCCCCTCGGGGTGTAGAAATTCCAAGGTTGCAACAGGACAAGTGGGGGAGCAACAGCAAACCCCAGGGAAACCCTTCAGGGGGGACCAGAGGGAGTATCCACGCCACTGGGCAAAAAGGAGAATTTAAATAATCGTGGCCTCCAATACATCACAAAGGAACCTGTGAGAGACTGCGTACATAGAGGAGAGAGAACCAAACATCTCAGCCCCAAACCACACAAACCCCAGTGGCCCTGACCACCCCACGACCTTGTGGTGTTACTGTTCATTGTGAAAAGCTGAGCTGCAATGGGAACTGAGGGCTCACCTTGGTCTTTTTGAAAGTGTACAACGTTCTGTCAAAACCTGCCCATTCTTTTGAATGTTATCACACAGACAGGTGTAAGCCATGAGATAGAAAGGGGGAAATGCTGGTGACATTCGTGTCTCTGAGAGAGGACACTAGAGGAACAAAGCTCAGACATCAACTATGTGCCACATGCCAGGAAAGTGGCTGGACACATGTCACTTAGAGATTTAAATAAAACCCGAGACTACACCAGGGGTTCCTTTCCCCAACAAGTGACCACCGGCCCCCACCAAAGTTCTCCACCAGGTACAAAGGGCCTCAGTCCCCTCCACACCGAACTGTCCATCACTCAACTGAAAGTGAGCTGTGCCAACGCTGGCTGTAGCAGGGACACACCTGTGCCTGCGTCGGAGACCCACGCTTTACCAAACGCATCCTGGTGAAATATCTACAGTGACACATGTGCCAGCGTGTGGTCACAGCACTCAGTTTCAGTGTCTCTCCAGCAAAAAGGCAGTTCTTTCCACGATCCAAAAAAATACATTAACAATGTGATCTGCTAATAACTATATTAACAATCTGGAGGTCTTGAATTAGCAACCATTTGGTCTATTAACATATCAATGTTTCTTAAAGATAAAGGTTAAAACAGATATTCAAAGTTGAACATGCACATATACATCTATAAAACTCATCCAACTGTACGCTTAAGTTGGGTGCATTTGATCCAAATTATACCATGATAAAATCAACTTAAAAAGGTGAGAGGAAAAGCAAACAAAACCAAACACCCCCTCAATACAGCATTCCAAAGTGTTCCTCTCTGTCACCTTGGAAAATGTAAACCCCGGGAGATACCTGGCTTGAGACCCCAACTACCTGGTGGACTGCTGCAGTCCAAAGAGCAAAGCCCCTGCAGGTACAGAGTATGCAAACTCCAGGAAACCAGGCCAGTGTGTATACACAGTCCAGAGTGGGGAGTAGATTCTGGCACAAACCTCTCAGCACCTCAGTGTGGACAGAGCAGCCGCTCACACCTGCATTCAGTGGGAGCCCCAGGCCAGAGCTGGGGGAGCCTAGCGTCGAATGAGAAGAAACTCTAAGGAATAAAAGAGCCAGCTACTAATACAATGCACACCTTCCGCACACAGGACAGAAGGACAGCAGCTCACGTGGCTGGGCAGCGCTTTCTCAGAGGGCCCAAGAGCCACAGCCCTCTGAAGCGTGAGGAAGGTGAGATTCCCACAGAGGCAGCTACCTCACCAAGGTGGCCACGATGGGCAAACCTAAGATTTCCACAGTATTAGCTCTTCAAACAAAAAGGCTGCCCGACCTTCAAAGTTGATGTCCCAAAGACACCCGAAGCCAGCACGGACCAGGGTTCTCACACCACCTGCGCACTCCTAGGCTCCCCTTCAGAAGCTTGGCTTTGGTGGGCCTAACATGGGCCGAGGACCTGCATCTCCAAAGCCCTCTCCAGGCTGGTCTGCTGCTTGCTCAGGTTTGGAGCAGCCCATAAACTTCCATCAGGGAGAACGTTAGGTGCGTTGCAGGAAACAAAAAGAGAATATGAGACGTCCCTGAAGAAGCCAAGCACTTGCTTCAGTTCTCACAAGAAAACAAGACTCAGTACGTTTTGCAAAGAGCAGCAGCGACACTTCTGTTTCCCCTCTTCCTAACTGATTTCACTAATTTTCTTATCAAAGAAGGAAACGGCCCTGCCAGGGAGAAGACAGCCTGCCACGGAGAGCCCGCTGGAAGGCAGCTTTCTTCAGAGACATACATGGAAGGTCTGTCCAAGGACACTGCCGCAAGCTCCTCCCCTCAAGCCCAGGCGTCCTCATGGCACAGAGCGTCGGGGAGGAGACCCCAGGCTCCTACTCCAGGCCTGCTGAGGATCAGTAGCCAAGGTGAAAGGCTGGCCAGGTAGCTCACCTTGAACCAGTCTGCGTAGGACGGGAAAACAGAGGGGCCCTCCAGAGCAGCCTGGCGCACGATCAGGAATGCGGTAACCAGGCTGTCCAGGTGGTAGCTCTCGAACGCACGGGCTGTCAGACGGGCCACCCAATCTAGGGGAGAGCCAGGACCAGTCACAGCTGAACTTGGGCGCCAGGTGGAAATGAAACGTCAGGTTGCCCTGCAGGAGAACCTGCTTGTTCTTGCCCAAGCGCTGACTCTCAAAGGACAAGCACAGCCACAGGAGATCCTGAAGAAGCAGCGCACACCCTGGACCTCAGAGCCACCATGGGTGCTAAAGAGCCTGAGTGAGGGTATTGCGCTGACAGGAGCACCCGGGCTCTGGGCAGGCAGGGAAAGGCCTCCCCACAAACACTGGGGTTCTGCCGCCCCCAGGGCACAGGCCACACCCCCACCACACCCTGACCAGTATCACCCAGCTCAGGCAGACACACCGCTGACCAGCTGCTGTGCTTCTGGGACGCAGACAACCAGCGTGGACACGCAGGACAGCACATGCTGCCAGTTGACCTCCTGTGTTTCCAAAACGTCTTGCAAATGGCCAACCAACTCCTCCGGACTCAGCATCACAAAGAGCTGAAACACAAGTGCCCACTCCCTTCAACGTTGCAGCAAACCAACGCCAGACAGAAGCCAGTCCCTTGTCCCCTGTGAGCCTGGCCCACTGCAGCCACCTCCCACCTCCCTTGGGAAGGACGCAGAGGTGGCTGGATGCAGCACAGCTGCTGTGAAGATGCTCTAACGTCTCTCCTGTCTGTCCGTGGTGTTGGTACCGGCTGGAGAACCCTCATCTCAGGGAGGGGCCGCGCCCCATGTGGACAGCCATGGCTCACCAAGACTCCAGACTCTGCACACATGGCATCCCTGGGAGGCAGCTGGACAGGACTTGGCCTGTCAGATTTAGATACCCCCTGCATCATGGCAGCAGGCTGGCACACTCACCCTGCGGAACAGAGTGCTAAGCAGAGGGGGTGTCCTCGCAAAGCTCCACTCTCTCTGCATCTGGACGGCATCAGACGCTGCAAGAGGGGAAACAGATTCCATGTCAGTAATCACAAAGCTGTGTCTTAAAGCTTCACTGTGAAAAAGCTATCTTGTTTTAATTTGTATATTTTTTCAATCACTAGTAAGTACACCATTTCTCTGTTTGTTGTCTATTTTCTACATTATCAACTCTCTGTGCCTGTCACCTAATTACTTACTGGTAATACTTTGTACTACTACCTATAAATACTTTCATGTATCAACTGCATTTTAATTTTGCAGCTTTTAAGCTTTTAACTGTCAATAAAACAGCCACGGTGAGGATGCCACCCACAGGACACTGGGCTTAGAGCAGGTGCTGAGCCCTTTGAGAACCACCTCCCAACAACCGTGGGCACCTCCTGCATTTGCGCTTTGTCCCCACCCTGACTCCCGCCTGACCACCTACCCTGGGACGCAGGAAAGACACAGAAAGCTCAGTGGACAGTGGGTCGAGGCAGCAGGCAGGGAAAGTGAAGACTTAGGAAAAGTCTGTCACATACGGGGTTAGCAGGACACCCATGGGCAGGTGACACACTAAACACTGGCAGGAAACCCACATAACTGCCTCAGAAATGCTTATGATACAATGACATTAAAACAGAATCACGGGGCCAGGCGTGGTGGCTCACGCCTGTAATCCTAGCACTCTGGGAGGCTGAGGCGGGTGGATTGCTCGAGGTCAGGAGTTTGAAACCAGCCTGAGCAAGAGCGAGACCCCGTCTCTACTATAAAGTAGAAATTAATTGGCCACTTAATACTTAGACAAAAGTTGCCCGGGCATAGTGGGTGCCATGCCCTGTAGTCCTCAGCTACTCCGCGGGGCCTGAGGCAGGAGATCATTTTGAGCCCAGGAAAAAAAGTCTGAAGGTTGCTCGTGAGCCTAGGCTGACGCCAATGGCACTCACTCTAGCCTTGGGCAACAAAGCGAGACTCTGTCTCCAAAAAAAAAAAAAAAAACCCAGAATCACAGTATTACAGTAAATAACTCATTTTTACAAAATCTGTTTAGAAAAAGCCCAGAACAAGCCCAGGCGCGTGGCTCACGCGTAAATCCTAGCCTCTGGGAGCCGAGACGGGCGGATTGCTCGAGGTCAGGAGTTCGAACACGCCTTGAGCAACGACAGCAAGACCCCGTCTCTACACTATAAATACGAAAGAATTATTGGCCAACCTAATGTATATATGTATAAACTCCACGCCGCTCCGGTGACGCATGCCTGTAGTCCAGCTACTCGGGAGCTGAGGCAGAAGGATTGCTTGAGCCCAGGAGTTTTGAGGTTGCTGTGAGCTAGGCTGACCGCACGGAGCACTCACTCTAGCTGGGCAACAAGCAAGACTCTGGTTCTCAGAAAAAAAAAAAAAAAAAGGCCAGAAGAGTCTATAGCCATACAACCTGAACACCAATCTCAATCCTGGTCTTAGAAGCTAAGCAGGCTGGTCGGCCTGGTCAGTACTTGGATGGGAGAAAAGCAGCAGAAATGCTACACATTAAAGATATTTTTACATTTTGGTGACACTTTCTTCTGTCTCCTCTTTTTACTTCTGGATTTTTTTGTAAGAATGTGCTGCCTTTCAAATGAAAAGACTTTTTGTAATTACAGTGTCTTCATGACCAAGGCATTCTTAGATCCTCAAAGCCTTCTCGCACCAGCTTTCAGGGCCCAAGCTGCTGGTTGAGGACAGGAGCTAAAAAGCTGCGTAGAGCCCCTGGCTCTCCCATTTGAGCTGCACCGTGGCAACAGGGAAGTAACAGTCC